CATTCCTTTGTTTTCCTTCATTCTACTCTCTAGCTCAAGTGGGAAGGAAACCTCATTTATCTCTCATGTCTTGTCCCTTCTGACCTTAAATTAAAGCTGAGAAGAGGAATTTCTCCCCAGAAAATCTCAAGAAGCAGCTTTTTTTTTTTTTTTTTTTTTTGAGAGTCTTGCCTGGTCGCCCAGGCTGGAGTGCAGTGGTGCGATCTCGCTCACTGCAACCTCCACCTCCTGGGTTCAAGCAATTCTCCTGTCTCAGCTTCCCAAGTAGCTGGGACCACCAGGCATGTTCCACCACACCTGGCTAAATTCTTTTGTATTTTAGTAGAGATGGGTTTTTATCATGTTAGGCAGGCTGGTCTCAAACTCCGGGTCTCATCCGCCCGCCTTGGCCTCCCAAAGTGCTGGGATTACAGGCATGAGCCACCATACCTGGCCCTCACTAGCAGCCTTATGACTCAGACATTTTCCAGAAATGGATGAATCATCAGGCAAACAGGTTCCTAAGGACTCCAAACAGAAGGATATAGAGCCTTGCATCAGGACCTGGGTTTAGGGGGAAACTATTGGTCAGGAGTGGAACGGAGGAGGGGCATAGCCCATATCATCTCCTAAAGACAGAAGGTATCTCATATGTCTTTGTTATAACACTTGAAACAGCACATAAATATTATACTTTAAAAGTATATCCCTAATTCAGCATTTCTGGTACCATTTATCTAAGGCCTCATGCAGTAGAAAAGAAAAGACAATCAGGAAGAAGGGAGAGACAATGAGTGCAGGTAAAAACCACACGCTTGAGTTCTAGGTTATTCTAGGTGTCTGTTTGGGCTCCAGGCTGGGATGGGTTTATAAGGATTGTGAGGTCTGTGCCTGTCTTAGTTAAACCAGCCCACACTCTTCCCCAAATTCAACCCTGGAGCACCCTAAGAACAACTTACAAATCCAGCACAGTTGTCACAAAAAGTGGGCTTCAGGTAGGTGGTCTCTTGGAAGTTGTGAGGAAAGCCCAGGCCCAGCTTGGAATAGATTGAGCTGGCTCGCATGAAGTAGGCTGTGATCTCATCCCTGCTGATGAGGCCTTCCCTGCCAGCAAATGACCAAGGCAAGGATGTGAGTATAAGGGGCATGGAGGCAGGTAGCAAGGGGGGCTTGTAGCCTTAGAAACTCACCTTTCTTTTTATCCTCAGTGGTAATATGGTATGTGCTATGATTACTTCCATGGGCCCTACTCTTAACAAGGATACAAGATGACATGTGGTAAGTAGGTGAGGCAGCATTAGTCATTTCCACAGAGGTGTTCTTTGGCCAAACCAGGTTTTCCTAACTAACTTGACCACTATCTATAAGACTTGAAAAAGAAACAATGTAAAATGTACATGTGTATAGGGAAAGAAATGTCTTATGCTACAGTTTCTGACTTTAGACAGTACCTAACTGGAACCCACTAACCATACAATTGGTTTCCTATAGAGAACCAAGATAGAATTTATTTAACCTTGAGAAAAGTAAATATGCAAAGTATGAATAAGTATTAGTTGGTTCCCAAAATCTGTAATGACAAAGCAAGAAGGAAGACTAAACATTTTTATTTATAGTTGACCATTTCTAAAGTGGCAGATTTATGGAATGTTCAGTTTGGAATTTGTTTGTTTTGGAGACAGGGTTTCACTCTTGTGGCCCAGGCTAGAGTGCAGTGGCATGATCTTGGCTCACTGCAACCTCTGCCTCCCGGGTTCAAGCAATTCTCTGCCTCAGCCTCCCGAGTAGCTGGGATTAGAGGTGCCCACCACCACACCTGGCTAATTTTTGTATTTTTAGTAGAGAGGGTTTCACCATGTTGGCCAGGCTGATCTTGAACTCCCGAGCTCAGGTGAGCCGCCCACCTCGGCCTCCCAAAGTGTTAGGATTATAGGCGTGAGCCACTGTGCCCGGCCCAGAATATTTTTTAAAGCATGCATATTTTATGGTCTGTTCTTAAGTGATCACAGCAGCAACACATCTGAGTTTTCAAGTGCTTCTAGTGACATACCTATAAACCTATTCTCACCAATGGGCTCATAACCACATCTTCCTATGTACAAATCCTCACCTGTCTTTGTCCATCACACAGAAGGAAAATGGAAAACTCGCAGCAATCTTTTCAAATTCTTCCTGAGAAATGTATCCATCCTGGTCGTGATCATAGTTCTTGAAGACAGACTGTGAAAAAGGAGTTTTTTTGGTGATTACTAAAGAGAAACCGGTCTTCTCTCCCTTTAGGTCAGATGACGAAGAGCTGGGGCAGTTGGATAAAAGCCTTTAATAACCTGAACAAGAGGAACAGGGAAACCTGCTCCTTTAGCTGTGGCAAAGATGTGGCAGGTCACATCTCAGGCCTTTGCTGGTAGCAGCATCTGGAGGGTGGCCATGTACTTTGAATCATTAGCACATCAATTATACTGTCATGCTGGCTACTCCTAGTTCACTACACAGAGGATGTTCTCCCTTCACTCTACCCTTTTTTTCATCACTCATCTCCAGTTGCATCTTCTTTGAGAAGCTTCTACAAACAGCCCAGTTGGAAGTGCACTGTCCCCACTCTTAATCCTCTTGTTTCTCACTGTTATGCTCTTTTCTGTTGTTACACGGGAGTTGTCCACGAGGATAAATGCAGAAGTATGAGAATATATACCCCTTCCTCAGCAATTAGCACAGAGAATTGAATCAAGCAGTACAAAATTTTTCAGTTTTAGGTTTACTGTATTATCCTTTACTATACTCAAATGTATCCCATTACTTTTGTACTCCTGAATCAACTGACAACCTTTAAACATATGCTTTTCTGCTAGGTCTTTAAGAGGAGGCACGACTGCCTTCATATAAGGCCAGTGTGTATTGTCAAAATGTAACTTCTGAATTGTTCTAAAGCCACAGTAAGAGAAGTAAGTGGTTCCTTTCAAGATTATTGCCTTTATATTTCCACCATTGTACTCTCCTCTCCCCTTTGCCCCACATACAAAACTAAGCCAGGCAGTGCCTTGCTTTTGTGTGCTGAAACACCGCTGTACTTACATCCACCATCCTCTGGACGTGTTTGCTAATGGTCTTTGGATCAGGTTTGGGAGATACTCCAGAAGCCCAGTCCACTACTACTGGTGGCTTTGAAGGTGTTAGTGGCTAAAATGAAATATTCAGAGAAATCCTTATGACTACAATGCAGTATTATAACCTGTAGCTCCTTCTTTTCCCACTACATGACAGTTACATTTATGGACAATATTCAATTATGTTCAGTGGCGAGGAGCAGAGAACCCACAGGCAACTGAAATCTTCTAGTAATTTTGGCTAACAAGGTACTGTGCTTTACGGTTTCCAGAGTGCTCTTCACATACATTATCTGCAGCTACAGGTAATTTGAAATTCTCAATCTGCCTGAGTTGCAATTCCCTCTCCATTAAACCTTTTGTCAGAGCTATCAACAGAGTAAACTGGATCATTTATGCTTCCTCTCTATTCTCCAGTCACTCTGCAGTAGAAATGTGAATAAGGAAAAGCCTAGCTAAAAGGCAGGAAGACACAAGAAAAATAATCTGAAGCCTGGACAAGCTCTTTTCTAAATACAGTCATGCATCACTTAATGACTGGGATATATTCTGAGAAATGTGTCATTAGGTGATTATGTCATTGTGTGAGCACCACAGTGTGTACTTACACAAAGCTAGATGGTATCGCCTGCTACACACCTAGGCTATACGGTATAGCCTACTGCTCCTAGGCTATAAACCTATACAGCAGGTTATTCTGCTCAATACTGTAGGCAATTGTAACAATGGTATTTGTGTATCTTAACATAGCTAAACATAGAAAAGGTAAAAATATGGTATAGAAATTTTTTTTAATGGTACACCTGTATAGGGCACTTAACCATGAATAGAGCTTTCAAGACTAGAAATTACTCTGGCAAGTCGTGAGTGGTGAGTGGATGTGGAGGCCTAACATTACTGTATACTCCTATATACTTTATAAACATTGTACGCTTAGACTACACTAAGTTTCTTAAATTTTTTTCTTCAATGATAAATTACCTTATTTTACTGTAAAAGCTTTTCATTTTTTTAACTTTTACTCTTTTGTTATGACACTTAGCTTAAAACACACATTGTATAGCTGTACAAGTTATTTCCTTTGCAGCCATATTCTACAAACTTTTTTCTATTTTAAAAATATTTAATTTTTTAAAACTTTTTTTGTTATAAACTAAGGTACAAACAATTACACACACTGGCCTATGTCTATACAGAGTCAAGATCATCAATATCACTGTCTTCCACTCCACATCTTGTCCCATTGGAAGGTCTTTAGGGGCAGTAACATGCTTGGAGCTATCACTTTCTGAAGGCCTGCCTGAGGCTGTTTCACAGTTAACTTTTCTAAGTGGAAGGAATGCACTCTAAAATAATGATAAAGAGTATTGTATAGTAAGTGCATAAACCAGTGATATTTATTATCAAGTATTAGGTACTGTACATAAGTGTATGACCTAGACTTTTTACAGCTCAGTAGGTTTGTTTACACCAGTATAATCACAGACACAGTGAGTAATGTGTTGTGCTACAATGTCACAATGGTTCTGTCACTAGGCAATAGTAATTTTTCTGCTCCATTATAATCTTAAGGGACCACTGTCATATATGAGGTCTATCACTGACCAAAATGTCATCATGTGGTGCATGACTGTATTTGAAACTTGGCCCAAATTAAAATCTCTTTGAAAAAACAGAACGTACCCTTTCCATTGAAATGCCTCTAACCTGAAAATGGAATCTACCAAATATTTTCAGTCAAATCTTTCATTACAATAGAATGCTAGAACTTGATCCTTCTATGTGGAGGAGTGCAATTTAGCCACCCCAATACATGAGCTGGATTTCTTAAGTGTGGGTCACTCTCTTCCCTTGAGTACCACTTGTTTTAGGGTTTGGAAACTTCCCAGGAGACTGAAATGATTTTACTTGCCTGTGGGAGGGCAGGGCAGATAACCTGTGAAGTTCCTACTGTGGGCAGTGCCAGGACTGTGTACTATTTTGAGGACTTCTCAGCATAGGATTCCTGTCAAAAGACTCAGCAGACTGTCCTTTTCACCCAGAACATTACAGGAAAATGGGGCTTTTCTATCTACCAACCTGGAAATCTTCAGAAATTTAGCTTCTGATTAGTATGCATATTACTCTCATTATCATCAATGAATCAGAAATTTATGTGGGGATGCTTCTTAATGGGAGGGGGATGTCACTCTGGTGCACAATAGTATCTTCCTTCTCTACTTTGTAAACCACTGACTGATTCCACCACACCTGGCGTTCTGATGATATAGTTATTTACTGTTCACTAGTTATTCACTGGTCACACATTAGGCTTATCTCTTCAACTACATCACAGCTTTTTAATGGACAGGAACTATTCCTCAGACATATGTTGAAAAGTTTTCTCTGTTCCTAGCATAAAGTTGAGCACTTAAGAAAAACGGTATACTTATTAAACTGAACCGAAAGTCTGTTCCTGAGGATGAATGAATTCGAGGAGAAGCTTGTAAAGCACCTGTTACATGTGGAGTCTTAACATGAAAAACTCACTGGAGCTCTGTGGTTCCTTGGTTCCCGGGCATAGGAAAGCTCATAGATTTCATCCTCAGTGTAGTAGAGATCCAGGGATAGCTGCGGATCAAAGCAGAACAGGGTTCATTGCTAAGACGCTGTTTGCCTCTCCCACGGCTGATGGTTCTTTCTTGGATTATCCTTGCCAGTAGTTTACTCTTTTAGGCTCTAAACAGTTTGTTTTTAAAATTCACAAAACAGGTATAACACCTACTACTGCAATAGGGCAAGCATTACTTCTTTCTCATTAAAATGTTTTTAAATTTTAGATATATCTCAGGATGCTCTCTTTTTAACTATGATTTAAATCTAAGCCTCTATATAGAGCTTAGGCCAAAGGCCTTGTCTGGACAGATGACCAATACATCACTTGTTCTCTCTCAAAGCAGAAAGATGATCTAAAAGGATGGTGTGTATGGTCTGAGACTATTAAATTTGAGTCCAACAATAAAATTCAGTTTAAATGGTAAGACATATTAATTGCTATTAAGAGTTAATGTAGTCTGGGTGCATGGTGGCTCATGCTTGTATTCCCAGCATTTTGGGAGGCCAAGGCAGGTGGACTGCTGGAGCTCAGGAGTTTGAGACCAGCCTGGGCAACATGGCAAAACCCTGTCTCTACAAAAAATACAAAAGTTAGCCGGACGTGGTGGCGTATGCCTGTGGTCCCAGCTACTCAGGAGGCTGAGGTGGGAGGATGGCTTGGACCTAGAAGGCAGAGGTTGCAGTGAGCTGAGATTGCACCACTGCACTCCAGTCTAGTTGATAGAGCCAGACCTTGTGTCCAAAAAAAAAAAAAAAAAGAAAAAGAGTTGAGTTTCATATATCTTAGAACTATAAAATTTTAGGAGAGAAGTCCTTAGGAATAATCATCTTATTCTTAACCTTGAGTCTATGGATAGGCTTCAAGGAGTTCAGAACTTGAAATTACATGCATATTTAAAAATATATGGCTTATGGGCTGGGCAAAGTGACTCACGCCTATAATTCCAGCACTTTGGGAGGCCGAGGTGGATGGATCATGAGGTCAAGAGATCGAGACCATCCTGGCCAACACGGTGAAACCCCATATCTACTAAAAATACAAAAAATTAGCCGGGCGTGGTGGCAGGCGCCTGTAGTCTCAGCTACTCGGGAGGCTGAGGCAGGAGAATGGCAGGAACGTGGGAGGCAGAGCTTGCAGTGAGCTGAGAT